AGATTATTTCAGCAAAGTTCCAGCTCGAATGAAAGAGTTTTAATTTTGGAGCGATTTTCGTCCAAGTGGCCCTTTAATCCCGTTGGGACTAAGAGTGCCCAATAGGTGAATAAGCCCTAATCTAATTCATGAAATAGAGCCCTAATCTAATTCATGATTTATTTGAACTCAACATGATAAATGTAACATTTATAGGTTTTCCTCGTGCAATTATTACACTTATCTGGTCAAGTTTACTCAAGGTCACAATAGAGATTGAAATACCTTAGCTTTTTACAATAAATATATAATAAAATAATTATTGAATTCCCTTAATATAAAAAATTACATGTATCAAGACCTCTGCCTCTTTATCCAACTCAGATAGCTCGGCCTTGGTCTTGATAATGACACTTATTTGTCTTGGTGGATGTTTTCCCATTTCATACCACATGTCATTCCCTAGAGTATCATTTCTCTGTTTAAAGGGTTGTAATAATGGGAACACATACGAATATGAATACAACTCAGAAAAACTTATTCTCAAAGAAATAACACTGAGTGTGTAAACACTGCACCAAGATGAATTAGGTGTATTGTATTAGAGCAGGGTTTAAAATAATGGTCGATCAGTTGCCAGTCATGAGCATAGGCCAAATTAGTTTTAGCTTCTAAATTCGTACCTTATTTCTGGCTGAAAGGTACTGGTGAAAATGACTGACAAGGTAAAGATTTGACTGGACAAGTACCATGTCTGGTTGGACATTATCCAGTGTCTGGCCATTACCTTGCGCCTACTGCTAACTAGCTGAGCAACTTTGAGGCCTGTTTACACTAGCAATTTTGTGGTGACTTTTTTGGAGTTTTAAATCGCATGTGCAAACGTCACCTGGCTTGAATCCATGGTTTTAGTGGGACTCAAAAGTACACATGTCAATGCCCAGTGATTTCAAATTCAAATGAGCTTGAAAATTAATGTAATTTGTAATGATTTTTGAAAGTGATTTCAGAACCAAAAATGCTGATGTACCTTCCCATCCTTAGGACAAAATATTGATGATATGAGGGCAGAGTTTTGAACAAGTTTCTATGAATATAATATTGTCAAACTCCTATTTTGTGCCAACCTGTGTGATATTGTCAAGTAGCTTCTGAAGATAAGTACAAATACAGGTTGGCTACTACTTAACAGAGGTTTTTACATAGTAAGCTTGCTTTTGAATATATATATATATATATATATATATATATATATAACAAAACGTAAACAGAAAGTAGTGCATTTATGTATGGCTGTTCATATACAGATGAAATTTGGATCTTCTCTAGCAATCTAATTAAAAACAATTTAATGAAGTATTGAACCAAACGATGATAAAAATGCAGTCTAAATCACGTCTATAGTGAGATAAATATCGATAGTTTATGTATGGTTGACAAAAGCAAGGTCACTCAAGAGAATCGACTTATATTTGAAGTCACGCCTAAATCTAAATCAACGATGCTTCTGGAAATACAATGGTATTTTTACTAATATTATGGGTTCTAAACAGAGCTACTTGGATTATGAAGTAAATAAGGAATGTTTTTCAAATAAAACAGGAGCTTGTATGCTTATTTTGAGCTCCCAAAGTTAGAGTAATTATGCATCAAGTCAGCTTAGGAATAAAACTGATTTGAAACGATTTTCGACCTTTGTTCGCTCTCATGTTGCTACTAAAACCACAAACGAACCAGAACTATTAATAGCTTATAATCAAGAGATTAAAGCTTGTTTGTAAGTCGTGCTGTAGCAATCAAACTTGAGTATGAACAACAAAGCTTGACTTTCCTTTTCCAAGTCAAAAATTTAGCTTCACAACATGCAATCCAAAAGTATTAGACAAAACACAAATATATCAATGCTGTTTTGAGCTTGACTTCATAATACAATCAATGAATCTCTTGGACTATTATTTATTAAATAAGAAACTTGGAAAGGTTTCTTTTTAATTTCGAACCAAATGCTGCAAATCTGTTTCACTTCTTCGAGCTCAAAACCGATTCTTAAGCCAACTTACCCAATAGAAAAGGTTGAAAGCAAAGAGAAAATACTTCAGGCATTTGCTGATAACGTTCTTTGGTTCCTCGGCGTTGTACATGGCGGGTTTTTGGATCTTTTTTGCGGAGAAGACTGCGATGTTTTTGAATTTCGTTTAAGGGAGGATCACATGTAAATGAAAGACGCTATGTGCAGAATAATTATTATACATTTGCATAATTTAGAGCACAGGGAGCCCAAAGCCGAAAAGAATTTGAGGTTAAAATTTTATCGAAGAAAAAGAAGAAAGAAAAGAAAAGAAACGAGGAAAAAGAAGTAGGAAGAAACAGTGATTATAGAGAAAAGGAGGAAGAGAGATTGTCACTTGTAGTACTGGAAGGAAGGCTTGACTTCCGATGCAAGAAACTTGACATCATGATGAGTCATGATTTTAAACAAAAACGACCCGTTTTCCTTGTAGTATCTATACCGTATTTTGAGAAATATGTTTTCAATGAATAGGCGAAACTGAGTGTGTAACGCTGAGTCTTCCCCTCTTTCCCTTCTCAGCCCAGAACAAAGCAGCAGTAAATAGACTTAGTTGTGTAGGAAGTACGATACGACGAAAAAAAAGACAAAAAGACAAAAAGGAAAGGACTGGGACTGGAAGGAAGGAAGGAAGGAAGGAAGCAAGGAAGCAAGGAAGCAAGGAAGCAAGGAAGGAAGGAAGCAAGGAAGGAAGGAAGGGGTGACATATGAGTGAGTAGTTTACTTCTCGCTTCTCATGCACAGTCGTGGTACGAGTTCGAGCCCAGGTTGGGCTGATTCATATGTGAGTTGAGTTTGTTTGATGTGTTTTTCTCTCCCTTGCCACGAGGGTTTTTCTCCAGGTTGTCTGAGTTGAGTGTTGTATGCTGTAAATACAGAATGTAATGGTGGGTGCGTGTGGAGCGACCGTTAATTTCACGGAAGAGCCCGGTACGGAGAGTGATGGTTGTAAAATATATATTTGTAAGGAAAGAAGGAAGGAAGGAAAGAGAGGAAATTCATATAGAATGTATAAAAAAGACTTGGGCTTATTGCGGACACGTGGTATTACCGACTCGTGGCATGATTGTTGCTTATATAACATTTATATTTACATCACGGTAAGAATTTCACACTCGAAATAACTATAGAGGGAGGGAAAAAGCTTTAAAAAAGAAATTGTCGGTGTCCACACCCACCCAATTCGACTATGGCATTTATGAGTTTAATTCAGAGTTGACGAGCTTTCCTATTCCTTCCTCCCTTTCTTGCTTTTCTTCACCATGCCGGGCAGGCGTGTACATTCACGTGTATAGCTAGTAACGACACATGGCATTTCTTATAGGCTATCTTCTCCCACCCTTGCGGGTTAATTATATCAAACTATAGCAAAGGAACGAATGATCTATAGAAAAACTGCCTTCATGCGTGCGTTTTCAATACTTCCATGCATTATATATGCTGACTTCCGTGATGTTCCGCCCAAGATTTTACATGCGAAATATGTTGAAGTCGCCACTCCCAACCTAGATACGTCATTTGGAGTGCGTACGCTGTTTCTGATCTTGTGCCGTTGTTATTGGTGTCATTAAGCGTTTTGAATGGTTTAATTAAGCATGACTCTGTCGGATATCTTCAAGGGACCATAGTAATTGGGAACAATTTTCAGATATCATCCCTTACACGTGATCGATCATCTGCATGTATTTTTTTATTTAATTCTATTTCGAATCACGTGTGAAAACAATTAATATCTGCTTTAAAGAAATTGTTATATAATCCAGGTTAATGCCACGAGTCAGTCATACCACGTGTCCGGCCACTCCACCCAGTGAGTGTATAGGCGGAGAAACAGAACCTTAACGTTGTGCTCCCTGACATATTCTCTGTCTTTGATTTTCATCATCAAGAATATATATGGGCGATCTGAGACTAAAAGGAATTTCTGTGATTTTATGTTTTCTGGCTAATATACGAAAAAAAGTCACATTCCTAACTCAAAGAACATGATTCATATTCCAATCTAAAATGAAACTACGTTGTTCGTTTACCGTGAATATTAACGATTTGCAAGCGTGCGATTCGGTCTCAGATTAGTTAGATGGTGGTAAAACGCTCGCCTCTCACCTCTGTTGGTCCGGGGTTCGAATCCCAGCCACCCCATGTGAGCTGAGTTGGTTGGTTCTCTTTCTGACTCCGAGGGTTTTTCTAGTGGTCCCTCGGTTTTTCCTCCCTCCTCTCAAATCAACCCTAACTAACTCAAACTGGTTAGAGCTGTGCTCCGGGGTCATACATGGACTGTATAGCGGCTGCCAGAGGCGCCTTCACATGCTTTAAGTTCGACCCCGTTGAGCTGCGCCACTGCTGTACTTTGAACTGGTGATTAGCGATGACAAGTTTTTTTTTCAACCATCTTATGCATGAATTCGAACAGAAAAAAATCAAATTGTTTTCACTTTTTCTTCATATTTTTATCTTTTTAACTCATATTTCGAGGTTACATACTCTACTTTAATATTACAATGAGTAAATGTGACTGAACCGAATTAGTTAGGAACTTCCTCTATGATTCTAATCGTTACTATAGTTTCAAACTTTTTTACAAGATGTCACTTTTTTATATTCAATCGATGTATTCAACACACCAACGCAGTCCCAAATTGTTAACCACTCGTCATTATGATTTTCAGCTCTTTCACCTTAGTTAAAATAATCAAAATAAACATCCGCAAAACTTGATCATGAAACTGTTTATATGAACTAATTTTACTGCTTTGTATATTAGCCTTTAAATACGGTTTAAGTCATTTTTTCGTGTTCTTTTTAATAGACTGGGTTTTAATGGGATCTAATTGTCGTGGTCTGTTCAATCTGTTCCTCCCCTCGGTAAAACTAGGCTCCATTACGGCATCATGTTGACTGCACATGGCTGGTGACGGGATCCTCGGACGGTGCTCTAGCGGTTTCAGATGTGGCGCGTTTCTGTTCTTTCTTAAATCAAAATCTTCGTCTTTAGGCAGTATATCTATTTCTCCATAAAAGATCTGTCGATTTCTTTCTCTGAAAAACTCGGCCAATTCCAACAGCGAGGGTTCTGGCGCTTTCTTTGACATACTTATCTTGGAAAACGTCGTTGTCAGAAATCAGTGTGTTGCGAGTGATTTCTGGGCAATTAAGTGGCAGTTTATATAGCGTATATGAATGAATCCCTACGATGCTGTAACCATGATGTGGAGGTGGGGAGGGGAAGAAACGACAAATTAGATCCCATAAAAACCCAGTCTAAAAAGAACAAGAAAAAAGGAGAAAAAAAGAAACGAACAAAACAAGCCCAAGAAAATCAAAACTAAGTAAAAAAGTAACAAAGTTTGAAACTTTACTCGACTTATCGTAACTCAGCGCGAGTTAGGAACTGATGTAATATGATAAAATGCCTGTTTGTAGCGTTATTTTCAATTGTACAAAGATGATTTGTTGCATTTTTGTTAGAATGTTGCTTTGTCAGGCTTTTTTATCGAAAATGTATGGGAAATAAGCAAATGAAGGCCTAAACCTCATTTTCGAATAAAATGTTTGCTTTGGGTTAACACTTTGATTCCACTTTCATCGGTCATCTCCTCTTCCAGACAAGTTAAACTTTGTGAATAACAAGATTTTAGCCTTGTACAACAGCCTTTCTTCAAGAAAATAGTTTTTGGCGCTTACTGCTTGAATACGAAAAGAATTCTCTCTTAATAGATAGTTTCGAGAATGTCTGTAAATAACTTTACAGGTTGACATTTATGACCAGTGGTTACTAGTTGTGACTGCGCATGCGTTGGTGTCTAATACATCAATTGAATAACATGGAAACTTAAAGATCGTGTAAGAAAATTTGAAAAGATAGTAACGTTCCGGACAGTTCTTTGTTGGGAGGAAAGAGGAAATCCATGGAATTCAGTTAGAGTTACATTTACTTGGCGCAATTGATACAGTAGATTATGTAACCTTGAAATATGTATATATAGACTGCACAATAAATACCAAGAAAAAGGGAAAAACAATTTGAGTCATTTTTAAGTTTCTTTGCCGATTCAATGACTGTACTATTAGCCTGAATACGACACTGATATAGGGACATATTCCCAAGATGGCGTCTATTTCGTCCCCTCATACAGTCCCACTGCATCGTGCAGTGTCAACTCGACCCAGGTTATACGGGACATAGCAACGGTAACTAAGGGGAGTCGGAGCGATGAAAAGGTTTTCGTCACGGAACCAGCAACGGTCCACGTGACAAGAATTTGATCGCTACAAATTTTCGTTATATAACAGAATCGCAAAACGTTGACATGAAAACATCCGACAAACGCAAAGCATTCTTTCTTTCTTTTTTGATAACGGTCCACGTGACACGGAGTTGGATGCAACCGGTATTTTCATTATGCAACAAGAATCGAAAACATTCGACGAAAAATCTGACAAGAAAATGATTTTTTAAAAAGATCTAGTACTTGACAAGAATTGGATTCTACGTATTTTCGTTATGTAAGTAGAAGCGCAAAATTTTCACATGAAAACATCCGACACACGCAAATTATAATTTTTTTCTAAACAGGTGTGGCGGTTAGCAGGAACTGAAAAAAGCAATTAAAGCAATATTTTTCAAGAGCTATTAACAAATTTATTTTCCAGTAATTAGCGAATGTTACACTTTTTACAAGGCATTCAAACTATCGATATAAGTCAGTTTATATTTTCACGTTTGTCGCTTTGGGATTATGCAAAGATCTAGTCGTAAGGCATAACTTCAAATCTATAGTTTTAGCGTGTATACCTCTTATATTTACTGGGATACCTGTGGTATCACAGTCGTTAAATGCCTTTCTTTTTTTTCAGAAACAGACTTCTTTAAAAGCTATCCGTTTCCGATATTTAAAAGACAAACTGATTTTAAGTTAAAGCTTAGTTCGAGTGGATAAGAAAAAAGGGCTGAAATTTGTGTACGGGTTTAGAAATTAGACCCACAATACAATGCGAAAGAACTAGTCACCAGTCTTCTTTTAACTTCCGCTGGGGAGTTTCAAAACGTTCTGCTTGTTTTCTGTACAACACGGATATTTAAAAGTTCGAAACTTTATCAAAAAAAGAACACGAAATAGAATACTTACAACATTACAAAATGAATAAACTACGTTTAAATACAGTGCTTGCAATTTTTTAAAAATTTTATAAACGAATAAGAAATATAGTATAGCAGGTCTGCGCCATTGCTATCTATATGCAACGCCCGAGCGGGAGATTGGACAAGTTTAGAATAGTAACCAGGCCTTATTTTTTGTACGGTTCCAAGTCGAGGTTGGAAGTTGTTTTTATAGATATTAGTCTAACCTCGACCTCGAAAACGTTTTTTGGTAATCATTCAGGCGAATGCGTGTAAGGTTTATCGTGATGCGCATGTCAGAAAATATTCAACGGTCTGGCCTCACTTTGAAGTGAAGGCGTGGTTACTAATGCACTAGCATTTTATTAGGCATCAAGATTGACAAGGTAAATATATATATATATATATATGTATATATACATATATATACACTTGATTGCAGAAAGGTTGTAGTATACATTTATACAAATACCTAATTTATTCATATTAGTCATTTTTTGAATGTCCGAATAATTGGAGTAATTGAGGATAATATGACTCGATCAATTACTGAAAATTGAAAATTCTAGCCTGGAAGCCACTTGCAGTCGAGAAATTTTGGTTTAAAACCGAAAAGAATAATAACGTTGAGTAAATGACGTCATTTACNTTATTCTCGTGTTTTACATCCTACGGACTATAAATCAATTGGTTCTGAGGGTTAAAAAAGTAAAATTGCAATATGCATCTCATTAGGTATTTGTATAAATGCATAAATGTTTAAATGTATACTACAACGTTTCTGCAATCGAGTGTATATATATATATATATGTATATATATATATATCAAATTGCTAAGTATTAGTCATTTTTTGAATGTCCGAATAATTGGAGTAATTGAGGATAATATGACTCGATCAATTACTGAAAATTGAAAATTCTAGCCTGGAAGCCACTTGCAGTCGAGAAATTTTGGTTTAAAACCGAAAAGAATAATAACGTTGAGTAAATGACGTCATTTACTGACAACTTAGATGCTGAATAAAATTGATAAGTTTTACTGTGAAGAAAATATGTTGCTTGGCTACTATTGGGGCCATATAGATAAGTCTAACTAAGTTTAAACTCATTTCCAACTTTCATTTCAGCTTAAAAAACGATTACACGATTACTTACTACTATTTGTACAAAACTACCTTCCTACTAGTCATTATCGACGGTTGGCAGCTCCTGGGTTCGCAAGGCTTCACGGGCTAGGAAGTTTTCTCGTTTCACCTGATTGGATACTGTCTTTGGCACGTCTGGGATGAGCCATGCAAGGAGACTGGTCACTGCGAAGACGATGTGCTGAGGGACGGAGAAAAATGAACGAAAAACAGTTTATAGTATCATAATGGATCCGGAAATACGTCACTTTTAAACAGCGCTATGATTGGTCTAGAATACTCCAGTTTCGAGTTCTCTGAGTTCTCTGTTGCTCAGGGTTAGCCTCGATTGTGTGTAGAATATTCATGTGTTCCAGTGAAAGTCCGTGGAATTTCAAATTGTTTGTATTGTGGAAGTTGTGCATTCCTTACTTTAGCGTTGGTATTTGGGAATATTTAGAGTCTGCGATTAAGGAACACAGCGGTAATTTGGAACTCGATAAAGGTCTATATTACATGGGACAAATCAACGTCTAAATAGCACCATGATTGATCTAGCTTTAGAAAACAACTCACTAAGAATGCGATGACAAAGAAGAGCTTGGCAGCCACGATGTGCCAGTGTGCCTTGGATGTCGTAAAGCCATTAGGGTTGGTGACGTTCACACCGCCAATCAGAAGGAAAGGAGGCTCGTAGTATCCACGGAATCTAACAGAAAAATACAAGAACCCATGCATCAATGAATGGCAGTCGTTCAAAATACTTTGTTATCCATCATGGCGGACATGCAACGATCACGTGATCTGCTATTGTCTGTTGAATGTCTTTGTAATTTTTTATTTATTTATTTGAGATTTTGCCCAGGACACAGAGTCCCCTTTGAGGTACATTGCACAAATTTCCAACCGACCCCCGTAAAATCCCCATACCCATCTCACAATGAACCCTTTAAGAAATCATTAGTAAAGGTCCAGACACTGAGGATGGTCACTGCCAGGGTTTCTTTACGTCCCTCCGTTGCCCGGTGAGGTAGTTAGGGACTTTAAGATTTGCAAAATCTACAACGGCGACGTCAACCGGAAGTGTAAATATTTTTTCTTTGGGGTTCTGGTCATTGGAGATTTTATTCAAGACATTGTCAGTAAAGTCAACTCATCCACAGGGAAGACAGACTTTGAAGGCGCGAAACCCCAAAGCGAAGTTATTTACACTTCCGGTTGACGTAGCCGTCCCAGATTTTGTAAATCTTAAAGTCCCTAGTGTGGAGAGGCGGGACCGTGGCCATTCGAGCCACATGAAGGTCTAACCATTTGTTATTGTAATTACAAAGGCAGCACCTTCTCAGTTATCATATTTTTAAGACCCTGAGTCCCCGCTACACGTCCCCTCGTATGTAAAGAATGTGTTTTGTCGCTGTTACTTGTTTGTGGGTCATGTCCCTGCTACATTACCCATAGTGTGTAGCCACCTTAATATTTACCTGCAAGTCGGTACTCCGAGGCCACAGCTATCCGGGTTAAAATTCCCTTTACTTAAATCTGAATCCGGTCGTTCTTTATCGGTAAAGTTAGAGATCGCAAAGCACGAAAGGCTGCTGTCAAGGAAGCCTGTCAAATCGTCATGGCCATCGCCACCGTAGCGGTAGTATAAACGGGGGACAAACTCCGATACAAATGCTATAACAAAAGCCTAAAAAATAGTATTTCATTGATTATCAGTAGCTATAATACACGTGAATATATAATGAGATACGGAATAGCCGAAATATGGCTGCTATGGTCGCTTACGGGAGAGGAAAAAAAAAAATTTCAAAATTGTAACTCCAAAGGCGGTCGCGGTCGCTTACGAGAGTGGTGGCTTACGAGAGAGTTTTTTTTTACAGAGTTTACATATGGAAAACACGGGAATTTGAAAAGGTGATCGCTTACGAGAGATGGTCGCTTACGAGAGTGGTCGTTCAAAGAGAGTCGACTGTATCTTTAACTAAACAGTGATAAAAGGGCAARAAATGCTAGGGTTATATATTTCACTGGTAACGCGGTAGGTAGTGGCTCGATTCTCCCGAGCCAGGGCCGGGCTCATGTGTAAAGCGCTCGAAGGTGCGCACGCACTTAACCTTCTCAGACTTTCAGTGCTCCTTATTACGGGTATTTGAATCTAAAGTCACACAGAACAGAGAGAAGTTGAAACTGCTTGAAAATATATAAGGATACTCACGTTAACCACGACGGATAGTTTGGTAACACCGTTCAATATAGCGTACCATATACCTAGTAAATATAATATATATTTAATAATATAATATAATATATAATTATTAAAATAGCAAAAATCGGTTAAAAACAGTTTGAACTGGCGCGGTAATGGAGTGAAATGGAACAAAGTCACGTGAGTCTAACTTGGTCACGTGAGACTAACTTGGTCACGTAAGACATGTGACTAGCCCGTTGGCTTGCAGGCGTTCCAGTCTTTCCCGTCCCCAACCAGGAACGCGTGCATTGTATCACGCGACTTGATCACATGAAAAACAAGGCCAAGTTGGAAATGACTAGTTCACGTGATTAAAACTGGGAAATGAAAAAAATATGTCGATTCCTTTTCACTTTTGCGTAATACGACCCGGGCTCAAATGCCGGGCTACTGGGTCATATGTGAGTAGAGTAGCTGTTGGCTCTGTTGTGATTGTCCCATACTATGATACGACAGCCAATAGTCCCCTTCACAGTTCCCTGCGCCATCTTGAAAGGTAGCCATGCCTCTGCATCGAAGCGAGACAAACGGTGAGCTTGCAACGTGACCTTTTTTAACACCTTGGACAATTATTCACAGGTCTCTATCATTGCAAGCTCACCGTTCGTCTCGCTTCGATGCAAAAGCAAGGCTACCCTTCAAGATGGCGCAGGGAACCGTGAAGGAGACTACTGATAGATTTTTAATCAGCTTGGATCACACATTATCATAACTGACCTATATCTTGCGCTCGAGCTGCCATTGGCCTTCTGAAAACACAGACAAACTTGTAGGCGTCCAGTCGAATTTCGATCAGATTGTTGATGAGCGCGAAGAGTGGGCCGAGGGGAAATGCCGTCACAAAGATGGTAATGAAACCAAACTGGATAACTAGAAATAAATAACATTGTTATTATGCTAAAAATTAAAAATACTATTTTTGAAGTCATGGATCCATTCTTTTACTTGAAATGTGTTGGCTGTGATTTAAATTCAAAATAATGTTCTTAACCAGGTTTTGCCATTTACATACTCTATACGTTTTGTAATTTATTTCATCATTATCATCATCATCATTATCACCATCATTACAATCACCATCCCCATCATCATCATTACTATCACCATCATCATCATTACCATCATCATCCCCATNCGCCTTGTAATCAAAAATGATGATAATGATGATAACCAAAAAAGGCCTTTGTCAGGTAAATAAAAGTTAAATAACATTCCATTAAATATTGACCTAAATTTTAAGTTTATAGTTTGTCAGTCATAAAATACTACCAACAGCAGCAAAGATTAATTAAATACAATTTTAAAAATTATTGTTTTTTAATTTTGAAAATAAATTGTTTAGCATGGTAAAAACAAAAGCCAAAACAACATTTCAAAAAATTAATTTTTTGCATCAACAAAAAATAAAGTTATCTGTCGTGATTAGAGACTGAGTGGAAGGTTGATTATCTCTGATATCAGAGCTTGATTTAAGATGCTGACATCATCATCACGATAAACATGGATCATCTTCATTATGACAATCATCACCACCATCATTATCATCATCATCACCATCATTATCATCATCATCATCACCATCATCATTATCATCATTATCACCATCATTACCATCATGATTACCATCATCATCATCACCATCATTCTCACCATCAACATCACCATGGCCATCATCATTACCATCATCATTATCATCACCATCATTACCATCATCATTACCATCATCATCATTACCATCATCATCATCAACATCATCATTATCATCATCATAAGTGCTCCTACAATTACTCATTCCGAGGTTGAGCGAAAAACTTGGCTGAGTTGGTACTGCACTGCATTGTGGGACTTGTTTTAGGGGACATCTTTCCAAGATGGCGGCTACTTCTCGTCCCCTAAAACAGTCCCACAATGCACTGCAATGCCAACTACACCCAGTTAAATTCTAAATTCTCAACCTCGGAATGGCTAATCTGCTAAGCCAGGTATTTAGTGCTCGTACCCATCTCGAGGTACTCGTAGAACAGCCCGTATTTTGGATAGTCGTACAAGTCGTAATCCAGCTCCCATCTCGTGTAACCGGAAAGATCTGGCGGCTCAAGGTTTTTTCGAGATTTCCACCAATTCTTTAACTTCCTGTGAGAAGAAATTTTTAAGAAGGTTTGAGAATTCGCTCAAAGTCAGGGAACGGCTAACTCACAGTTCGAATAATGTTTTTGCGTTGTTGGGTTTTGCGGAGCGGAGGGAAAGCGGAGAACCGGGATAAAAACCCTTGAATCAAGGAAGAGACCTAACGATCTCTACTCACATGTGAAGCCGAGTCTGGTAAAACGATAAACAAGGGTATGATAACACTGGCATCTAAATGAAAGAACTTCTAGAGTGCACTCAATCTCGTACCCAGAGCCCACGTTCCTCTTGGTCAGCACCGAGAAGCGTTTCTCGTTAAGTATCCGTTTTCTTGTTTCTTTGTGCTGACCAGGTGGAGCGTGGGGTCTGGGTACGAGATTGGAGGGCATTAAACTTTTTACTTACGGTAACACTATTTCCAGAAGGTTGTTGAGGATTTGTTTACCAACCATGATGATGGCGAGCTGAAGCAACAGCTCAAACAGACAGCCAGCGGGATTACACTGCAATATGAAATGTAAATAAAAATCGTGACCAAAACAACCCCCTCTCCTACTGCGGCTTATTCACCTATTGGGCACTCTTAGTCCCAACGGGATTAATGAACGCTTTGCTTTCAATTAACCCTTTCTTTTGCCTTTTGATTGTTTGTTTTTGTTTCCTTGTCTACCTTGCTCTCATTGGTTTCTTTTGTTTTATTCTATCGATATAAACACTCCTTTCTACCACCTCTTTCTCTTTTACTCCGACGAAGGACTAGCGTCCGAAACGTCAGTAAGTTTTTTCATCTTTTCACGGCGTATAATTTACCTTTTTATCATTACTGTTTCATTAGAAACACCGACGCAGCTCACACTAGTTTTTAGCTAGTTATCTCTCCTAACCCCCCTCCCCATAACTACCTCTTTGTCTGTCGAGATGACGCTCATTTACATAACTCTAGTCATTTTTACACAATAGTTATCCAATGGTTAATCTCTAGTAAATCCCTAAATCAGTAGTTTTGGGAGCATAAAGTCCCGGCACTCAAGTTCTTCCGACGTACAAGACAAAGGATTAGATTTCCCGCAGGTGTCGACCATGCCTGTCGCATATTTTTTCGTGTTAATCTCGTGTCAAGAGACCACTCTCCTGCTGGTCAGCAGTCAAACCAGTAAGACAATTGATAACCCTCGCTCTCACGTCTAGGGGAAGTTTGTGTATAGGTTAAAACAATGAGTACACGAACTTTCCCTAGACGTGAGAGCCTGGGTTATCCATTGTCTGACTTACTTGACTGCTGACCAGAAGGAGAGTAGGCTCTTGACAGTCAGTGTAGAGGCACATACATATTAAAATAATGAGAGTTGACATGCAACTGACCTCTTCTTGTCTGAAGCCATCCTCGTTTTCCTTGCTGCCAAGAACGCGGTTATAGTTTCCTGGAGGACCAGGACTAGATGAAACAAAAATAGAAAAGTAAACTAACAAATAAATAAATAAACAACTTTAAAAATATAGACATAAATAGTATACATGTAGGAATGAAGAATGAGTGAAGGTCGAAGAAAAGAACGAACGAAAAGAAAGAAATGAAAAACAGAAAGGAAGGAAGGAAGGAAGGAAGGAAGGAAGGAAGGAAG